GGGATGCTGGTGAGAGAAGCAGACTTGGGAGATGGGGGAAAGATAGGGAACAGGACACTTCACACTGCTACCCCAGGGAGAGCTCCTCATGGTCCTGGCTCTCTCTTAGGAGCAAGAGGAAGCTGGAAGGGATCAGCACTGCTTCCAGCTCCTGGTGCCTGGGAGCCAAAGAAAGAAAAGCTTTGCCTTGCTGGTCTGCCTGCTTTTCACACAAGTTTCCAGTGTGAGAAGCAGACACGGAGCAGCTGAGGGCTGCTCCTCCCTTTCCTTCCTGGTCTACGGAAAGGGGAAGGAGCAGGAGCAGCTACCCCTGTGTAAACATCTTGGTTCTGCAAACAAGAGATCTCCAGGAGGAGGTAGGCTGGGAAAAAGGGTCCAGACATTCAGTTTCCTAGCAGAAACTCCCCCAAGAACAATTTCACCTTGGTTGTTCCTGGATTATTTTTCTCCCAGAGCAGCCAGTTTTGCTCTGGGAGAAAAAAGTATGAACATCTGCCTGCTTGTGATTTCTACTAGGAGAACAGCAATTCTTCCAGTAGAAACTGACCATCTGTGCATAGCCATTATATGAAAATAGTTTTAATCTGGCAAAGCTAGCTCTATAGCAATACCTGGTCCTGTTAGAAGGATCATTGGCAATGTCTGGCTTTTAGCAGTAGGAGTTGAAGTTTCTGTCAAGGCAAGCATGGAACATTAGTGCCCACCTCATATCTATTTAGATATACTACTCTACAGTCTCTCCAGAAAGAACTCAAAGGTAACCAGTTTTTAAAGAGATATTTTAAGAGGGTGCAATGAAATGCAAAGAGTCAGTCAGAGCAAGGACTACAGAAGCATTTATTAGGCAGCGGGCAGTAGAAAGTATCCAAGTCACAACAGCTCCTGTTTCGGAACAAAATTTTAAAAACTCCTTTGGAAAAAAGTAAATCTTATTTCCTTGTAGAGAAAAGAATTCTCACTTCCTTTAAAGATAGTATTAACAGAAGCTCTGCCTTGCAGTTTTGTTTGACACATGTGATTAACATCAAGTTAATACAGAAACTTTGTTAACAGAATCTTGGTTTATGATTATTAAATATTCTTTCACATGGCAGACTAACTAAGGCAGGGTGCACCACTCACCTACCAAAGCATATATCTATCTGAACCAATTAGTTTCTAAGCCAGGAGGTCTTCTTTGATTCAGGGCACTGCTCCATCACTTTTTTACGTAGGCTTCACCCCAGTTGAGAACCACTGTTGGGCTGTCTCAGCTTAAATCAGTGTTTCTCAGCTGAGGTGATGGCACTGCTGCAGCCACCTCAACCAGGTGGAACTACCTAGCATGCCTTCTCAGTTCAACCCCCCACAACACTCCTTGGGACAGGTCCACCTGCCTTGGGCACCTCTTCAGGAGGTGCATGGTGGGGAGAGCGGGGCAGAAAAGGATTGACTGGAGCAGGACCCAGAGCTCCTGCCTGCTTAGACTCATCAGATAACCTTAATTCAAGGCAGGAGTGTGCACTCATATCACAGCCCTTTCTGATTTGGTTGTACATGGAAACATGTGGGGCAGTTTCACCTTGCTGCCACAGCAGCAGTGCTCATACTGCAGCATCCCTGAAAGGGGTTTGCAGCACTCTGGGGTGTTACAGCACCATGCTTGAGAACCACTACTTTAAGGTATCACTGCACTGTGCCTTTTGCCTGACTTCAGACTAACATGGCTAACTACTACTGACAGGAAGTCAGTGAGATTTCTGCAGTCCCTTAAGAGTTCCCACTGGAATTGGGCAGCTTGAACTCTTTTTAGGGACTTCAGAGTGGGAATAGGTACTTCATCTGGCACTCTTCCTCACTATTCCAATGCCTTTGCTATCCTGGAGGACACTACACCCTACAATTCCCGCCTCCAACAGGCAAAGGAGCTTAGAGATGCCCTGTACTGTTTACTGCTCATCTCCAAGTCCCTTCCCTGGGGCCTATGATGGTAGAAACCAACTTAAGATTTTAGGAAAGTAACAAGATATCACTTATATTTATATACTCAGATAAAAAAACAAAAACATATACATGTTACATCTCTCTCTCACACACAAATCAACAAACCAATTACAACATTGAATAGGAAATGGAATCCAACTAGTTAAAAGTTTACCTTTCTGACTTTTGAGGTTAGTAAAGCCCTTTTTTGACAGTGCAGAGTATTCTGAGGTAGGACTAGTAACTGTATCATCTATGAAAGAAAGATGGAAAGAGGGAAAGGGGAAATGCACATGGAAAGGTCAACGCAAAAAAAGAAAAAAAAAGTCACCCACAGCAGTGTCATGGAACCAGCACTTTGAGAATGAAATAGAAATTGAAAGGATATATTACACAGGGAACGCACACAACAACATATGACCACTGTGCTGGCCTTCACTTTGAATAGTGGCCTAGAAGTCAGATTGGAGAAGTCAAACAAGGACTTTTCAGAACAAGAAATAAAGACAGTTGCCCACATAAAGAAAACAGTCATGGAGGGAGGGAAGGGGGTAGTGGAAATCAAATCTGGGAAGTTAGTCCATTATGAGTGCAGGTCTTACGACAGGAAGCAATATGCTTTTACCTCCCATTTTACCCTGACCACCCTTCATTGTGCTCAGTAATCTTTGGTTTGCCCACGGATAACCAAACTGCGTGCAACTCACCTTTGCCTTTCTCAGGATACTTTGGCAAGATATAACCTTCTGGACTCGTAGGATAAGTTTTCCTTTCTTCTAGTTTTTTGAGGTTTCTTGTCTGATTCCTTGAAGGACTATTTATTGGAAAAAATTAAGTCGGTAAGTGTTATGTAGATCTGGGTTGAAGTCTGAATGGGGCTGATGAATATTTGTCTTGGGGTCAGAGGGGAAATCTCCCTTGGACTAGCAAACCTGCACTTAAGTGCCGGAGAACAAATATAGACCATAAGGCTATGGGCTTATTCTGGTGGAGGCATAAATAAAAATCAGGCCTACACTTCTATGACCTTCCCTCAAGCAACAACAACAAATACCCACTGGCTGCAGGCACACAGGGAGTGAAGCTAGCCAGATCAGTGGCATTTTGATGAGCTTCTGTCTCTCTCCCTGTGACAGGAAGTCATCT